CCATTCTCAGCCCTCGCCCTCGCCTTCCTCGTTGTCTTCTCACCACAATAAAGACAATGGTCCAATCTCTCTCGTAATATTGTTCGGTTTCTCTCTGGGCTCAAATTCGGAATCTTGATTTAGAATGAAGGAGGGGGAACAGAGGTCAAATTGCGGGTTTCTAGCTATTTCATTCGCTTTTTGAAGAACTGGCAAGATTACCGATGTTATTAGTAATTATCATTTGGCCATAATTGCCTAACAAGATATTTGCTCGTGAGTTTGTCGAAAGCTTACTGGGTCTTATTGCAATGTTGAACTGTGATAAAAAAAAATAATTCCATCTCAACAAATTAGTCAGGCTGTTTCACTTTGCATTGCAATTATCAATTGTGTGTTCCAGAACTCTTACCCGTCGTCGGCGGGGTCGTTCCGGCAGGAGCTCATCGAGCCGGTTTTCCGCCGAATGATGGAGTTCTTCCGCGAGACAAGATGGTGGACGCTTACCCGTTCGTCGCTTACGAAGCGAATTCCGACGTCATCTCGCTAGACTACTCTCTATTCCGGGAGAATCCTGGCTCGTCGAGCCGGCAGCGGGCTGATGTACTTCAGCGTCTTCGATGCCTAGATCGATACCGTGTTCGCAGCGATGTTGGCGCTGAAGTTCGACGGCATCGAGATGGTGGTTACGGAAACGGGATTGACGTCGAAGGGCGATCGTACAGAGATCGGTGCCAGAGTGGCGTACGCGGCTGCGTGCAGCGGCAATCTCGTCCATCGGATCTTTACCGGTGGAGAATAAATTAATCATATTATTTATTTTTGTGATTTAATTAATTTTTATTAAATAGTTCTATGATAAATCATATACACAAAGCAAGTGGAATGATGAGGTGGACAAATAAATTAATTTTTTAATTTTTTTTTAATTTTCACGTCATCTAGTTAACTGTCAAACTGTATAGTTGACTGCCACGTAGGACAAATTTAACGGAGTGTAACGGCCGGTGACTAATGGTGAAACGATTTGTAAAGTTAGTGGCGAATAAGAAAGAAAAGTAATTTGGGTGGTAAACGTGAAAGACTTGTATAATTCGAGTGACCAAACGTGTAATTTAGCCTTTATTTTATTGAAATGTTATCTTATGTTACCATCGGTCCTGATTAGTTTATATATCAGTATAAGATGATGTGTTTTTAACAAAATATAAGGAGCAAAGCATTGAGAGATCGTAGGATTTAACTATGTTTTACTTAGCTATAGTTTATGTGGGTTAGTTGACAACGCCAACGTCAGATTTTTTTCCGGTGGTGGAATAAGAGTGAATATGTTGTTACGATGAAATGGGTACTTATATTTATACAATTGATCTCCCATAAAATTACTATTTATTTTGGTAGCTGATGATAAATAGGGGGTGAAAAGGGGTAAAGTGTTTGACGTGCAATAGGTACATTACGAGAAGTCAGTCATGTAGCTTGTATATTAATAGAAGTGCGTTGATGTTTTGTAGGTTGTCTTGTGTTATGTCAAAAGATTATATTCTGCCCAGCTCCCCACGAGGTTGGTTCTTTCGGATGGGGCTTATTCCCTTCATTTTCTAAGTTTTCATCTATTTTATCGGTTGACATTTTCATACCCTCGATCTAATGTAAAAAGTTTATCTTATAAGCAGTGTATCCCATGTACGTTGTTGGTTATTTTTAATGCAGATCCCATAAATTCATCAATTACTATCCGGGATTTATCCGGGGGTGTCCTACTCCAACCATTGGTTGTGAGACTCATTCACCAGTGGGATGCCAGGGAATCCTTTGGCACAAACCGTCCACCTTCATATTGCACTCTATGGGTGGACAAAAATGTAATTACAATCTAATCAGTTTTCAAACAATGTTCTTTCTTTAATTTTGACTAATTGTCAACATGTTCTTTTTGTAGGAGGACACTATAGAAGGCCTTACAATGGCCAAGCATTTTAAAGCAGTCAACTGCTCGATAACAATGAACTGTATTTATATATTATCACATGTCCCACTTATTATTTCGAGAGAGAGGAACCGATTTGCCCCAGGAGACTTACGTTTGCATATTGTGTCGGCACATCAATTTATTGAAATTCCTGACAATTATTAAGAATAATATAATAATAACTATTATTATTATATAATAATATATTATTTGAAAAAAGGGGTCTAATGGGACGGGGCCGAGCAGCCCCAACCCTTGCAATATTTCCCCTGCATCAAAACCCCCTCTCCCCTTAAATTATTAATCCCGCTGCAAATTCTTTTCCCAGCAGCACCATCGCCGTCCCGCGGCGAGAAGAAGGAAGGAAAGGGAGCGACTGCTTCCCACCCCTACCCCCGATCACATCCCTTTCGTTCTAGTTAAGGATCACGAACCCTTTCACGATTCCAAACTCGATTCATCGATAATCTAATCTGAAACTCGTATTTTTGTACTATAGCGTTTGCGGCGAGATTTGAGGGTTTGATCATCAATCAACGAGGAGATCAACGTACCGGGTCATCCAACCTAGTCCTAGCACGTTCTAGAGGTAAGGGACTCGATCCCTTTGGGGTAGGTCGATTAATTTGGAGATTTTTCGTGAAGGTGCAATTCTGGGGTTTTAGAAACAGGATTTACAGGCTTTTAGTGACTGGTTTTAGTTGGTCACTAAAGCTGCTGGAAATTTTCAGAAACGTATTTTTAGATGTTTTAAATTGTTTCGAGCCACTGTGGAGGTTGTTTTCTGGATTTATCAATCCCCAATTCCCCCATTACCCTTCTCTCTCGTGGTCCGGCTCCTCGTCGGCCTCTCCCTCGGCAACTTCGTCAGTGAAAATGCCGCCGCGATCGTACCCGCCGCCCGAGGATCCAACCCGAACCGATCGGAGAAGTAGCCCGCCACCACGTTGTCCGTCGTCAGCTCCGACTCGAAGGAACACGCGTACGCCAATCCCAAAATCCACCCTCTGTAATCCCCCAGCCCGTCCCTCACCACAACGTCCCAAAACGTCGTCGTTTCAGTTTCCAATTTTGCTGATTCTGTCGTCAATGCACGGTCACGGCCGCGGCCGTAGACAAGGACGAGCGCCGCCATGACTAATTGGAAGATTCCGAGGATTAAGAAGGAGAGCCGCCACGAGGCGGAGGAGGAGAGTTTCAAGGAGAGGAGGGAGTGGATTTGGGGCATGAGGAATTGGGCGGCGGCGGCGCCGGTGTTGGCCCAGCCGGCGGAGACGCCGTTGGCGAGGCCGACCACTGAAGGAGAAAAGAAGGAGGTCATCCAGTACTGATTCGCGACGAAGTTGCCGAGGGAGAGGCCTCCAATTCCTCCTCCGCCGGGGAACCCAGAAGCCATTTTTTAAATTTTTTTCTATGTTTCCGGAGGGGATTGCGGGAAGGGATGTGGTGGCGGAAGAGGAAGCTACTCTTTCAATTTGTGATTATAATAAATTTTTTTATTTTATTTTATTGTGAAAATGAGTTGGAAATGATAAAAGATTAAAATTTATTTTATTTATTATTTTTTAATTGCCACGTCACCGAGTTAACTGTCAACTTTGAGGGTTGACTGCCACATCAGACATATTTGACGGAGTTGGACGGAGAGTGACCAAACTTGAACCATTTAACTAATTTGAGTGACCAAGATTGGATTTAAATATTTTCAGTGACCAAACATGAACTTTTTCGTAATCTCAGTGACCAACTATGCAATTAACCCAAAAAAAAAAAAAGAGAAGAATTTCTGCTGCCTAGTCTTGGCGACAAATAGAAGCCGGAAGCGACTGAAGCTCATTATAGCTGGCCCATATGTGAAACCCCCGGAAAGGAAGCCCAGAAAACCCACGACTGCTACAACAGCCCACTGGCTTTCTTTTTAACAAAAGAGGAGCCCAAATTGCTTGCTGCTTGCCAGGAAAGGTTCTGCATAATGCATTATTACCTCTCCACAGACCTTCACATGAGACGAATCAGAGCGCTTTATAAAAAGGAAAGCAAGTGTGGTAGTACCTCAGTGGATGGGGTGGGACGGGAGCCCTTTTTCTCTTTTCAGGCTTTCACCAGAACACGTGATGGAGAGGAAAGTACACCAAATTTCGCAGAATTTTGTTTCATATCACGAAGAAATTTAATTCGATCCCCGTGTTCTTAACTAATTTTTTTTTTTTTAAATCCCCCAAACTCCCGATTATCCTCCATAATCCACATATTATCACTAAAGCAATGATACGAGAATCTCCACATCCGCCAAAAAAATCCATATTACGACGCTCACATTTTCATAGTGGTACCTTCGGGCCGGTGCCTCGACGGAGAAATTAGAAGCCGCGTGCCCGCGTCCTCGAACAGGTGGGTTTTTCTCTGTTGGAAATATCTTTTTTGTTGGCATTATAACTAAGCCGACAATAAACGTTCTATTTTCCCGTGCCCATATGCCCATGTCGATTATGCCTAGACCCTTGCGTCTACTCTACAGCAAAACAACAACTCGATCAACCACTTTACCATCCATCTATATCTGAGCTGTTCCTCTTCATCTATCGTATACTATTATATTATATTTCAAAAATCAAATTTAAATTTTATTATTATCAGGCTAAAAAATTTGAAGAATTGTCGAAGAAGTAATCATATCATATGGGAAAAGGATTTTTTTTCCGTTTCCTACGAAGAAGTCAATTCAGCATTTATAGCGTCATTACAAAAAGGGACAAATAAGTCGGTGACAGTTGTTGCCAACTACAGTTCTCCGGCACTAATCACCTCGGCCGGAGGGGCAAATCGGTGAACAAACAAACAACCTTGCTAACAAATTTACAATTCCACTACTCAAATCGGGGATTCCAGTTTCCTCTAAAATTTTCACCCAGTTAATTACGGGAAATAAAAAAAAAAAAGAAAATGAAAACGAGAAAGGGGAAATCTAGTATTAATCCACTAACCACGCACCATGACCTGGATTCTCCTGCATTCAGTTGGTTAGTAATCGGTGGAGGAGGAGCTACGGCTACGCGATGGACATGCGGCGGCGGGCAGGCGGGTAGCAGTCCGGGCAGCGAACCAAACCATTGACGTTGCACGCGGCGCAGCTTCGGAACCCGTGCTTCTCCGAGTAGATCTTGTGGCTGCCGCTGCACTGCTCGCAAAGAACGAATCTCAGGCCTCCGCACAGATCGCACTCGTTGGACGGCGCAATCGCCGCAGCCGACAACCCAGAGAAGATCCTCTTCAACTCCCCGCTCTCGTGGAGCTCCCTGATCTCGTCCAGCCCGACGATGCGCCTCCCGCCGATGAGGACCACCGGGAGCGTCACCTTACCGGAGGTTCCCAGGATCTCCTGCACCTCGCCGAGGTACTTCCCGTCCATCGACAAGTCTCGCTCGTCGATCGGGACTCGGAACCCGCGGAGGATCGATCTGACGGCGTAGCAGTCTTCGAACGTCCGCCGCACGACGCGGAGGCTGGTGAAGTAGAGGACGACGCAGTCCTGCTGCTGCTGCGCCTCTTTCAGCTGCGGGAGGGAGGGCGGGAGAGACTTGCGGAGGTAGCGGAGGACGGAGGTGGAGATCCGGACGCGGTGGAAGATGGAAGGCGTCCGGGGCGAGATAGAAGGAGGAGCGGATGAGCCGATTCCGATTCCGCCGCCGCCATGGTCCGGCTCGGAGATGAGGGTTTGGATGTCTTTGAAGGAGGAGCAAGAGAATTTCTTCTTGTGCGCCGGTACGGAAATCGAAGTCGAATTCGAAGTCGGCGACGGAACCCTAGTTGGCGATTTCAGCCAGTCTGGCCACATGAGAGAGTCTCGCAGAGGATTCCAGAAGGAGGGAGAGGGAGGAGAAGATTGGAAATTTTAGGGAGATAGAGAGAAGGGAAGGAAGAGCTGGTTTCGATATTGGGGATTTTTGGGGGACTGTGGGCTTCGAGAGACTGGAGTAGGTAGTATATAGCGAGAAGAAAAAGGGTAGGGGAAATGGTGGGGGCACTTTTTTTGGGTCTATGTATTAAAGAAAAGTGGGGGCTTTAGGCTTATTATTATCACTAGCTTATGTAATGTGCCTTTTATGAAGATAAATCAAATCATGGATGATGTTTGCTAAGAGAGTGTTTTTAGTTGGAAGAGGAAAAAGGTCCCTAGTCTACATGACTTAACAACATTTAGAAAATAAATTTACAAGAATATTTTCGAAGGTGTAGAATTTTCGATTTGTGGCTTCCTATCTTATCACACTTTTTAATGAAATATTTGTATACATCAAGAAATAAAACACGAAGGAAAGATAAGAAATCTTAAAGGTCGATCTATTATCAATCGATTAATAATTTAACTGTAACAAGAGCAAAATCATAATCTTAAATGACGATATCACTCTCATTGGTGTTATACGACAACTATAATTATGTTTCATGTTAAGATAACTATCTTTAAGAAATAACCCCAAAGATAAGAAAAGGTAAAAATTAATTTTTTAATTAATGTTTTGGCATTAGAGGGTATTAATTAATTAATTAAAATTTTTATTAATGGTAATTAATTAATTATTATAGAGGAAGGAGAAAAGGTATAAATTAATTACAAGATATAAAGATACTGGGGAGAATTTTGTTCTGAAAAAAAGATAAATAATCTATCTAAAATCCGCAGCCACGTAGTAGTAATCACTAATCATTATATCCACAAAACAAGGGTAGCTAGGCAGTAGCTATAGCCAGTTAATTGAGCAATTAACTTTTGGAACTATCTAGTGACTGCTGGTGTTCCGTCAAAATCTTTAGTTTGGTGAGTGAGTGTGCGTCCTATCCCATTTACCTGTCCACGTTCTCTCCACAAATAATGGTAATCTGCAAAGTAACAAAGAAACACAAACACGATACTGATGTTGATTATTGGTGTCTGGATGAACAGCCCCCAAACAATAATGGAAGCAGCTGCTTCTGTCCAACCTTTTAATGTGCTGATGTTGATGATGATCTTATCACTTCTTTGATCGATTAGAGATGAGAATCTCGCCGTAGGGCACCTTCTGGTCTACTGCAATGTCGCCTCGTGTTGCAAGAACTGGCGAAACAGGAGGAAAGCGTGACATATCGACCCGGTGTCAATTCGTAGATGAACAAGCTTCTGACTCGTGATGGGATTCGTGATTCATACCACAGGTTTGATAGAAGAAGAGTGCTGCTCGTTTGCGGTCCATTCCGGTGGCTAGATTGTTGAGGGACTCGTGTTTGGGAGCTTTTGGCCATTCGAAATGGGTCTTCAGGTGCCTTCAAATGCAAGCAAAAACCATTTTAAACTAGTACCATAGTTTTTGATAGGAACGAACACACTCTAGGGTTGTTGATGGAGTAAGCCATACTTTCGGATGTCTTCAGTCATGGCGTCGAGTGGCTCAGAGGTGTTGATGAGTGGTTGAGTCTGTGTAGGTCCAGTTTCCAACAGCACTTCTGCAGGAAGAAAAAAAAATTGAAATCAAACAGCAAAAATGAGTGCCGGAGGTGACACTGAAGCAGCAACAGCCCAAATAAGTTGAATGAAACTATATGTCGTGCTCCGTTCCACCTTGATCAGGAGCCGAGTCCTTCTCGTGCACTGTCGTGATATCTGGATCTGGACGCCATGATTTGTTCTCAGGAATTGACTGAAGGCTACTACCACTATGTTTGCTGTATTGAAGAGTGAAAAAAAAAAAATTCCATGGAAGGGATCATTATCAAGAAAGCAAAGAAATAGCCTTGGTACTCAAGTATAACTTGGGGTTTAAATTTAACTTACTGTCCTGAGTTGATCTCGGAGCGATGTCGTGGAATACTATGTCCAGAACCTGAACTTGGTATGAATCTTGCTGGCTTCCCTGTGGAAATTTCCAACAATGTCTAGGAATCAGCATTGACAGAAAAAAAAAACCCAGGATTCAGGCGACATAGCTAAACTCACCACGATTTCCAGGAGATGTGACAACAGGTGGTTCTTTGTTCCCTCTTATACTTTCGTTGTCAGCAAGGTAGGCTTCAAACTCAAAATTCAGACCACGGGTTTCATAGAACGAGGGAGCTGCTTGTTCGAGGTTGATTCCAATGCGTAGACTGTTGAGGGACTCAGCTTCTGGCCCTTTGAAAGGGTTCTTCAGGTACCTGCAAATGCAAGCACAACTAGTACCACGGGTTTGATAGAAACAAACGCACACTTGGGTTGTAAATGGAGTAAACCACACATTCGGATGCCTTCATTCATGGCCTTGAGTCTCTGGGAGGAAGTGATGGGTCGTTGAGACTGTGCAGGTCCAGTTTTCAATTGCACTTCTGCAAGAAAAATGAAATCCAACAGTAATAATGAGTGCCGAAGGTTGCACTGCAGCAGCAACAGCCCAAATCAGTTAAATGAAACTATATGCTGTGCTCCATTGCACCTGGATCAGGAAGCCATAATGTGTCCTCAGGAATTGACTGAAGGCTACTACCACTATGTATGCTGCATTGAGGGAGTGAAAAAATCCACCGAAGGGGTCATTCCAAAGAAAGCAAAACATGGACTTGGTGCTTAATATTAACTTGTGATTTTTATTTTTTTGATAGATATAACTTGGGATTAATTTAACTTACTTTCCTGAGTTGATCCCGGAGCAATGTCGTGGAATACCATGTCCAGAACCTGAAATTGGTAAGAATATTGCTTCTTTACCCGAGGAAACTTCCAACAATGTCTATAGATTGAGCATTAGACAGAAAAAAGCAGGGTTTAAGCGAAAGAGCTAAACTCACCAGGATTTCCAGGAGTTGTGATAACTGGTGGTTCTTTGTTCCCTCTCATTCTGATGTTGTCCACAAGGTTGGCTTCAAACGCGTTATCAAACAGGTGGGCTTCCAATTGCTCATTCAAGACACCCCTGTCCTTCTCAAAGGAGATACCAATTGACTGAGACCCACCCCCACCTTGATAATCATTGAAGTTCTTCACATTCAAAAGACACTAGTGGATTAGAGAGACATTCAAAACGAGGGAACAAAAGTTGTCGTTAAAGGAGTTGCTTTACATATGGATCTTCAAATTGAGCTGCTGCATCTTGTGGGGATGAATTTGAAGCTTCAGGAGGCTGAGGTGAGGTTGCCCTTGCTGATTGCAGAAAGTACAGTATGAGTGAGTTTCATAAATGGAGAAGCCAAAGAAAAAGCCCCAGAAGAAGTCAGGCAAGTGTATGCAAAAATCACTCACCAGATGGAGAGTCATGTGGAGGCTGAGTGCTTTTCGTCCACTGCGCGAGTAGAGGAGCAGGATAGTAGATATCTTTGTTTGCATTGATTGATAAATCATCAATGAGTACCGTAGGTGGCAACTCCATCAGACTGGCCACCTTCATCCTCGACATAATACTCTTTTTCACGTCCTGTTGGTATATACATCATGTTTAGCAATCCGTTCATTACCCCAAGGCTAAATCATTGTTGCAATGTTGAGGCATACCTTTCCCTTTCTATCTCTCCTCGAGGTGAGGTCAGAAGCATTTTGAAGCCATGACTGGTATACCTCACCAGGTATTACTGTTTTTTCTATGTCCATCCAATTAGCTGCTTGTCTCCTCCTTTTCCTTATAATTGGTCCTTGCACCTGCAGTAACTCATCGAATCCTCCATTACTGTCAAGCTTATGCGTTGTTACCTTTGGGAGTAATTTGTTCACCAGGAAAGTATTTTAAGTTTGGTTCTTGTTTACCTTACCTGTCTGCGAGCTCTGGGAGTTTGTGGCTCGGGTGGGAATGATAGTGAGACATTTACAGGAGTGAAATATTTTGAGTGTCCCGTTTGCTGTTGTGAAAATGCAGCTTTTCAGAACATTAACAATAATATTTTGAGTGTCCCGTTTACAGGAGTTTTTTTTTCTTCTATTAAACTCCTTTTAATTAACAATATTATATCACCATTATAACAAAAAAACTTACCTCTCTGCCTACATTGTGTGTTTCAGATGGTTGGTTGACAAGGCTTTCAGGTTGCTGGTCAGGGATTTCTTTGTCTGTGAAAGGATTTCCTTGTTCATTTGCTGACATTCCGAAAATAGAATGTAAGCAAATGAAGAACATATGTGAAAGCATTTGGGAGTCAGCAAGCAAACCTCCTAGATCTTCATCTTGACGAGGTTGTGAGGGTAGAACAGTTGAAGGCATATCTGTTTGAAGATCTCCTGAAAAAGTCGCGTTCATCTGAGTGTCCCCTTCTCCACTAATATCGAATCTGTATCACCATGCACAAAAGACAAAGATGGAATTAGATAATTAAACTTACCGATTAATGGGATCAGAAACTGAAAAATTCCCATCCATTGAACAAAGGCCTTAATGCTAAAATTACTTAATCTCCATAAAAGACTTTCAACTGAAGATCCAAATGGGTTGGGAAATCACCTTTCAAAGCGATCATACATATCTGTGTTAACTTGACATGGGTCAAAGTGTTCGAATAATTTTATGTTCTCTGGATCAACTGAAGAGACACATGAAAAATCAGGGAAAGGAAATTAATCCCACTAGTTCAGCGCTCATTTTGATAAAACTATACAGCTTAGTAGAGTGAGGGAAGCAAAACCTTGATGCATATGCCCAGTAACATCGTCTTCCATGGCGTCATTGTTAATGTAAGTCTCGTCCAAGGTATCTAGTTGCTGCATGTACAATTAAGTTTACAGGAAGAACCAAGTTAGATCTACATTCAGAAGCGCATATACCATTGATACTGACAGTATGATGCCCATCTTGTATATTCCAAAATCCCAATTTGATGTTTCCACCTAAATTTCGGCACTATCCATGACTGTAACGAAGTTTCACGGCTTTCCAATGTTTCCAATTTGCAGGGTAAGAACAGAATTACATTGACTGAAAAACCGGAGAGATCAATCTTGAAGATATGAACAGAGAAAATAGGAGCACACATATATAGCGTTTCCGGTTTCCCTTACAACAGAACTGCGGAATAGGGAAAAAATCCAGAGTAGGTTAAGACAGTCAAAACATTCTCGTAACTCCATAAAAACAGAGCATCACAGTTTCTAGTTCAGCCCTTTAATTTACTAGTTCGTAGCAGCTAGGTAATTGATGTGAGTTGAGACGCGAAGAGACGCCTTCATCCACCAATATATCTGGGTAAATTAGGCAAGCACTTTTCCCGAGCCATCATTCACTGAACAGTTTAAGGAGGATCTAACCTACCATCATAGATCTAGACAACGATGGAGAAAAAAAGGGGAAGATGAATTACCACTGCGAAATAGGAAGTATTCTGGAAAGAAGGCATTGTTGCGTTTGAACTCGAGAAGTTCCTAGACTGCCCAATTTCAGGGTGGTCCACGTCCTGAACATCCGGCAGAGTCACAGCTTCTTTCCTGCAGATCCATAGAGAGACACTCGTTTCGGTTCGTTTTAATTGCACGTAAAAGAAGAATAGCAGAGAACTTGGGAGCGAAACGAACTTGGCCTGTAACTTCCGTTTCGGAAGAAGGGTACGGTCCGTCGCTGGTTCCACTTTCCATGTCTCGTTGATTTTAACCTTAACAGCGTTTCCGGTGGAATCACAGGAAATATTCAGCTCATGCAAGGAACCCAGAAAAAAAAAACGCAAGCAGAATACCGATTCGGAGTTCGATTCGGGTACCAGCAAACGGGTGACGTCCTCTGTCGGAGAAAACCCAGAACAAGAACAACGGAGATTTGTGAGCAATAATGACGAAAATTCAAACTCGACGTTGCAGAAAAGAAAAGGAAAAAAAAAGTAAGATCAGAATTCAGAAGAGGGACGACTTCCTCACCGTAGAGCAGCTTCACTTTCCGTTCATAAACAATCACCACTCCACCTGAACAAAGAACAATCAAAACGTTTCGCGAAAAGAATGATAAACAGACAAACCAACAGAGACGGAGCAGAGCAGAGCACCCATTAGAATTCCGGAGAGCCGAAGCGCCATCGGAACCGAAGGATTCAGAATCTCCTCACTGTTAAAACGAAACAAGCAACCGGAGGTCAGTACAGTATACAGGACGATGGAGAGGATGGACGACAAAAACGGCGAGGCTAATTGAACCAGATGCTGATGATGTCGATCATGTTGAGCTTCTTCCTGTTCATCTTGGCGTGCATAGTTGCCGCCATCCTTGATCAGAAAAAAAGAGTAAAACAACGCCATTATAACCGGAATCCTCCATTGGAAGCAGAAAGTGAGTGCGGAGAATCAATGAATTCATTACCAAATCTGGCCGAGGGGAGCTTTCCGAGCTAGAAGCTGGTGAGAGTAGAACATCTTCCTTCTCTTTCCTTTGCCCTCTTCTCTACCTGGGCGGTGAATCTAGCTGAGGGACGGACGACGGAGGAAGGAGGAGAGAATTCTGTCCTGAGGGAGAGTCGGTTATCAGCTCAGCTTCGAATTTGGACATTTAAAGTCCGTTGGAGCGGAAAAAAAGTGCGGAGCTAATACCCGCCATAGAGTCAGTAGACTGGGGAGCAGGGGACAGGGAGAATTACGGTGATATGATACCGTCACACGCGAAGGCACACCTAGGATAGAAACGCAGCTGACACGTGTACCTAGCAGTGTGTAAAATTGGAGGGAAATCGGTTACCTCCAGGCTCACAGCTGGGTTACGCTAGCAAAGCCTTTTAGAGGGAGAGGATCATAACTTTTGTGCACTTGTAAGCGGGGCCCACAGGATCAGCTTCCTCTACCACCTCTTCCTTTCGTCATTTTTCTTACATAGCGAAGGCAAGAATACGTTCTTCCTTCCCTTCTTTTCTCCAAGCCCCAACTCAACTGTCCTATGGTTGGAGCTACGAAAATGGCGGAGGTGTGAGGAATGTGTACAATAAGTAGGTGTCCGATGGTTGGATGGAGGTGAAGGATGATGTTTCTGAATGGAGGTTGCAGTTACTAACCAGAAGCTGAGTTACAGAGGTGAATGAGTTTGGTGGTTGCTTCGTTTGGAAGGATTTCGCCGCCGACGGCAGGCTTGTGAGGAACGACAGCTCCTCTGCTTGTACTTCAGTGTATGTGCAAATTGAGGCTGTTGTGTGAAATTGCAGACAAATTTGCAGCATTCGTTTCATTACAGTACGATGATGATCATTGAGGTACAAATTCGAAGTATATCAGACTGAAAGTTAGCAGCTAATTGAATGAAATGGAGGTGCTTGTATTATTTCTGGTATCTCAAAATTGGGAGTTCTACAAACAGAGCAGGCTTAGATTTACAGGACAGGACACGAACATCTGATGTCGAACCGTCCTCTGTTTTTTTCGTTGTTGCTATGACGGATAGTGTGTGCTTTCTTTTCTTGTAACTGTGGTATTTCTACACTTACAGAACTCGGAGTCGTAGAGGAAGAATAAAGAAGACATGTAAGATCGTCGTCTCTCCTACAACTTCACCGCCGATTGCCAGAACCTTGAGCTTGCCTAGAGTTTGACTGATTCTATAGTGCTGCTGCAGTACAGTAATTGATTTTAACTGGTGGGGCGCCAGAGACTTTTCTGGGCAACCAAGTACTGAGCTTGATGGATTTTTACCGACCAATGAAGCGACTTCAATATTGCAGTGAGCTTGTTGATCATTTCTATGGTGTCAAAGACGAGAAGATACCCGCCAGGTCTTACTATCCGGTCAATCTCTACCCCGACATCTATCAGGTCACATCTGAGGATTGCAAAGAAAAAATTTCTGACCTTAAATATCACTTAGAAAGCAACAAGAATTTGGTACTGATTAAGCCAAGGGGAGTGCAGTTTTACCTTTCCGATAGAGTCTTGAAGAGGAAGCTGGAATGGAGAAGGTCGTACGTTCGAGGGTAAGTGTTGAATGACTCGCACCAATCGTGGTAGACTCCGATCAACCCTCTGTCGTAGATGATGCTGAGAGTGTCTTCCTCATGAACCGGAACAACGTTCATCACCCAGTACGGAAGATCAATCAATGCTGCAGCAAACCTGTCCAAGCACATGTCGATAGTACAAGTCAACGAGCACATACACAAGTGGCAGATAGGTTCATTTACATGGCGCGAGGTTCTTAATACTTACCCTCCATAGCCGGCATTCATATCCATGATGTTGCGAAAGCTAGGCCAGCTGATGTTGAGTTTCATGAGGTAAGTATCGGATACAAGTTCGGTCCAGCGTCTGTTATCTGCTTTGTACTGTTCTACAACCCCTGGTTCCAACGGCATGGACACAGGGAGACTGCTGAGCCTGTAAGGCCATGTTACTGGCCACTTAATAACTTTGCCTTGTTTGTCTAGCGGGAGCCTTGTAATGCAGTTTAGCAGAGGTGTGTACCTAATGAAGCCAGCCATAGAACAATTAGAAATCACCAATTTTGCTTAAAATTTTGAGTTCTTTTTGGAGGTTCTTTAATTCTTTTACCATGAAATGTTGTGCTGATCGTTCTGATCACACAGAGGAGGATTATTCTGTGGGCGTTTCTCATAGCAAGAAGGATTCTCTGGTTTCTGATAGATTACCAGTCCAATTCCGGTTGAGTCCATTGTCTTGGCCACAACTTTCCAGCACATAGCTTCAGTCAAAGCCGATACAGCTGCAGTATAGGCAAAGAACGGATGAGAAAATAGCATCAAACTGATTGTCAGAGTGATAATTGCAGCAGCATGCAAATTAGTAATTGGGGAGGAAGGAATCTGACATTTCCAAACTTTGGCGTCTCTTTGATCGTCCTGGTACACAGGCGTGGCTGACCATATGAAGAAACCTCCAGGTCTCAGAACCCTGTTGAGCTCCAGAAGCGGCTTCCCACCTGAAAACTTCGTACATGCTCATGAGAACCAGAAAGAAAATGGAAAGAACTTGAGAAACAGATCAACATTCCACTACATACCATCAGCATCCCAGTGAACTCTGCAACGAGCGCAATGAACCAGATCGAAAGCATTATCAGGAAACACGAGCTGCTGCGTCCCGATCACCGAAAGGAACGCAGGGATTCCTCTCTCGAGAGCAAACTGAATCTGCGCTTCGTGTTCATCCTTGGGCGCTATCGACATGGTAAGGACTTGCTTGTCCAGCAAGTATCCGCCGAAGCTAGCCACACCACAACCTACGTCTAGAGCCACCCTTATCTGTCTTCCCCAATGGATTATTGGCACCGTCTGATAATCCATAACAACATATTGTCAAGTATCAAAATTTCACCACATTCCAATTTTATTACGATGTAATCAACTCTATACCTTGTGAATGAAGCTGGCGTAGTTGGAGACGCCATCTTTGAACTGAGTCCCACCTCCAGGGAATACAAATTGATCGCCTTCCTTGCGCACCCAGTTCTGATCCTTCTTGTACTCCACGAGCTTAGGATGTGGCACATTGTCGTACCATATCTTGGAAACAAATTTAATGGTGTCTCAGACGCCGTATTACCAATTGGGGATCAATATTGGTTACATGATCTCACTCTCAAACTAGTTTTACTATTAGTAACTTTCAATTGAAATTAAGATAAACTCTAATCACCATAATCGCGGCTTAATTGCTTCATTGTGACGCAATTGAACCCAATTGTCCCATCCAATTCCATCATCCAAACGACACCTAATGCTTAATAATTCAAACGAGGGATTCAGATTTCTAAATTAGGTCAGTGGAAGAATGAATTGAGTTTACCATGTCCCTGCTCTTAGGCCAAGGCAGAGGGCGCTTGTATCCTTTGGGGAGAGGAACCAAGCACCTTAGCGGCGCCGGTTTAGGGCAGTGCCTCTCCCTGTGCTCCATGTGCCTTCTGGTTGGCAGCCTCTTGATGGCCTTGTAATTATCCAAACAGGGGATGTAATCCGCCGCCAGGACTCCCTCGCAGGGGCGCCACGCAATGTCGAGGGCCGGAGGGGTGGGGAAGTTGGACTTTCTGGCCTTGAGCGCGGGGGAGTCCTTACCGGGAGGGACGGGAGCGTCGTTGGCGTCGGAAGGCTCGGTGGTGGAGACGTCGGAGCGACCGGCGAGGGAGAAGTAGTAAGGGAGGTCGACGGTTTTGCCGCTGGAGAGGAAGAAGAAGGTGATGGAGATGAGGAAGAGGAAGAGAAAGAGGAATAAGGCGAATCCGAAGGTCCGCTCTTTCATCAGCTTGCCCAGCGACATCGCGGCGGGGGCGGTGGCGGTGAGGATTCGGTTTCCTGATTGTCGTCGGCGATGGAGAGGAGGGGAAGGGAAGGGGGAGTGAGATTGAATGGATGATTGATTGAGATGGGAGTGTGAGTCTCTGTTTCTCTGAGGTTGAAGAGAGAGAAAGTGAGAGAGAGAGAGAGAGAGAAGGAAGTGTGGAACTGGAAGAGAGGGGTGGAGCTGAAAAGGAGGGGGAATAAACCGGAGAGGCGGAGACTGTTGTTTTTTCTTCTATTTTTTGCCATTTTTCCCGCTATTTCTGTGATCGGGCCGGAGAGGAGGAGACTGTGATCGGGCCGTAATTGTCTGGTCCGGCCCTTTTTAGCTTTTTCTTTTCTTTTCTTTTTCTGACTACTAATTGAATTAACTCAATAGTATGGCAAGAAAAATGTCTTCCCTGTCTAATTATGAGGTTTGTACGATCTATTGTATTCTTGGTTTCTCTTACCATATATTTTGGGTGGGAAAAAATTAATTAAGTTTCAGGGATGAATAAAATGTAAATTTCAAGATAAATCGTGATCTAATGGACTAGAAAGTTTGACAAATTGATATAAAAATTGTCACATAAAACATGAGTGAGATGAATATCTTAGTCACACAAAAGTATATGAGGAAATCAAGTAATCTAGTCTATAGTCTCTACATAACCATATAAAAAGTATGAGGAAATCAAATAATTTAGTCTATGGTCTCCACATAACCATACAAACCAGGAAATTTGTGAGACTTTTGGCAAAAAAGAGTTCAAAGATTCAGTGAGTAGAATTCAACATCGAAGTCACACCTACATAACAAAGTACAACAAACTATGAAATAGTTGGCGATTGTTGATTCCATGCTCATAGCTAGGGTTGTTAATGAGCGAGCCAATCGTGAGTGGCTTGGTCTCGAACTCGATAAAAGCTTGTTCGATTTAAAAAAAGCTCTACCTTATTCGGCTCGTGAACTAGCTCGATTAGGTGGCTCGTTAATACAACTCATGAATTGTCTCGTTTTGAGCTTATGAGATGTCCCAACATCGTGACTAGAGAGCCAACTCGACTACATATTATGAGAAAATCAATCTATATTTTATGAGTTGGTTTGTTGATGATGCATATAGTTATTAAATTGTACATCACCTCATATGGTGTTTAATACATTGAGTATATGTAAGCAAATATGTCCCATATATGACATAACATTAGGTAATCACATGTATCATATATATTGTAAATTATCTTCGGGTTAAGCTCAAGCCAAACTTCCGATTTTAATGATGTGTCAAGATTTAATAAATGAGTTGACTCGTGTTCGACTCAACTCGGCTTGTGTATAAACAAATCGAGTTTGAGCAAGACGAAACTCGACTCGACTCGACTCATTAATAGCCTACTCTACTGATAGCATGACACTCTACCACAATGACTGATAGCACGAAGTCTTGTTAAGTTGTTATCCCATCAGCAAATCGAGATTCGAGGACTATAAACTTCAATTTGAGGGCTCGAGGATACAATTCAACAAACTAAGATGACGAACAAACCTTCAAGGAAGTTCGTGACTTCAACATTGGCTAACAGCTCATCCTCCCATTTCTCAAAAAATTGGTCTCCTCTAAAATTGGTAGTTAGTCATACGGTATAAAAAACACTGGGAATCAGGCCAGGAAAAGGAAAAAGACTTGGGCAGTTTGGCCATACAAAAACAATAGTACAACTATTCAAGCCGCCGGAGAAACTCAAAGGAGCAGGTGCCAAAAATCAACTCAAGGAAACCCGAACTTCAAATCAAATGTAAGAACATCCAAAACTACAACCCCCTATAGACCGACTTTTGTTTTCTCTACTAGTGTAGCTTTTACTCGGTTATGCCCGGACCGGCATTCTCTACATCCACATCTCCCATACCGGTATCTTCTTCCTCCTCGCTGTCTTCATCCCCGCTAACCTCCTCATTCTCGTTACGCAGCTTAGCCATGTGCTCGGCCAGCAACTTGTCATCCCGTTCGCTCACCTGGATCACGCAAACAACAAAGCAGATTGATCGAATGAGTCGGGAGTAGACAAGTTTATGTGACATGAATCAATCAGCCCATTAGGCACAAAACATTTCCAGACACTAAAAAGGTGGGATTCAGTGATAAGGTTTTGACACTCACCGCTCTTGGTGCCTCCTTCACAATAAGCTTCCCTTTCTGCGCTTCTATTGCTTCACTGCATGCTGTGATGGCCTTGGTGAGGATGGATATTCCTTGGTCCTGCAGAAGCCAATGTAAAATCAGTGGTCAACATAACACCCACAATAACTCAACCAAACGGTAAAAAAGATCTGTCAGCATTTTGATGCATTAGGAAAGAGACTAACTTTGTCAAGGGTTTGTGTGGTGAGAACATAAAGTGGAGGAGCAACCAGCTTAATCTTCACAGGGCAGTCATCGTTACCAGCAGCTTCTGCCTTCCGCATTGCATCCTGCAATATTTGCAGACATTTTTTAAACTTCGACAATTGGACATTCTAGTGAAGGCAGCTTAAGTAGCAGAGAAAAAGAAACACCATTTATAACAAAAACCTTAATGTGAAGGACACCATCAAACTGAAAGCATTTCATTTCGATGTCTGCTCTTATCTTCGTAGGCTGTGGTGTCATTCTTCTCCTGATGTTCTTCACCAGAGAATCTTTCACTTCCTCAGTTACAGCTGGCACAACTTTGGTTACCTACAAAACCAGAGATTAGAACTTCTAGGGAGAGAGAAAAAGAAGAGAACCAAGCAGAACAAAATAGACACAAAAAAGGGGCTGTGCCAAAAAAGTTTTCACCTCCTGTCCATCAGGGCCAACTTCCTTGACTTCACGGGTTAGGGAACCAAGAACCGTATCAGGGTCGGTCACAATGATTTTGAATGCCTGCATGATAGTAACGTTTTAGACACAACCTTCAGTCAAATAATCAGAAGCCTCAACAACTATTGTTTCATATCCTCACCTCAAAAGCATGACCATACTTGTGGTACAGAGGCCAGCCGATGTGGATGTACAACTCCTGCCATCAGTCACAGTAAACGGATTATCATTAGTCAGCAAGAAACTTAAGCAGATAAATATGCAGGTACATACGAGAATGACACAGCGAAATACGAAAACAAATTCAACCCCAAAACTCTTTAAATCAATAATAAGTCACCAAGCATAGGCATCAATCGACACCTCCCACGTATCATATATTTAATTCAAGGGTTAAGTAATATGCTACACGACCTAAAGTCAATATCCATAAAGCTGATAGGCTGACATATGCAGAAGCTGATACATACAGTAAAGCCATCAATCATCATCAAGAACACCACACGTGTAATTATGGTAACGAAAGGATCACAACAATACCAATTCTACTAGCACATCCGGCAATTGCAAAGAAATTCACAAGAACCAGCATCGTTCAACTTCTCTTAAAACTTAAAAGCAAGAGGGGAAGGCTTGTCACAGATGGTAACACAAGCCTCATAATAGTTCTTCCCTAACATGAAGGGTGCTCATGATATTTTGGTTAAAGAAAAAGCACCCAGTCGCCATCCTAGCTTAGCCAATACCTCCCCGTCCCCGAGTTGCATAATCATAGGATTACTTGACAATCACAAACTTGAGCAAACATTCTACACTATCTACTCTCAGAATCTATAATCCAACCAAAAGATCAATTTTTTAGCCATTCTTCCGAAAAAGAAGACAGAAACCAAAATTCCCACCCTGGACCATGAACTGTCTCCACTGAGTGCTTAATTCTTTAGCACCAAACTTACTGATCCCGATTCAACTATCCAAATAATACTAGGCAAAATCCACATTGGAATTGACAGTTCGCTTAGCATCAAGGCATTACCTCCAAATCAAGTCCCAGAGTTTCAGCAACGTGGCGCATGATGGAGTGAACAAGCTTACTCTTGTTGTACCTCTCCTCGCACGTCTGGATATCCTCTTCACTAACCCTCCTCTTACTCAAATCAATGTATCCCTTCTCCTTATCAACCCTAAGCACCATCACGGGCTCGATACGGCCGACCTTAATCAAGCTGCTGACACTACGAATCCGGCGGCGGGAGAGCTCGGAGAACAAGATCATTCCTTCTATGTTGTTGTACTCCAGCAAGGAGACGTAGGCACCCATGTCGGCGATGTTCTTCACCTGAATCATCACCGCCATGTCTACTTCCGGGTACCGGGACTCGTACATGCGGCAGTCTAAATTCGGACCCGCCATGGCTGCTGCTGAAGGTTGCTGGGAACTGCGACAGAAAATGACGGAGAGGGATTCGGGAGAAGTGGATTGGGTGACAAGTATTTTGGGGACTTATTCGCTGTTGCTTTGGCTGTGAGTTAGCCAGGAATTTTTTCTTAATAGGTTAGGGTTTTCGGAGCAAGCAGGCTGCTGAATATGAGCTTATAAAAAATCTTCCTGGTAAACTTTTTTTTCCTATTCCCTTGATTATTTATTTTTGTAACTGGAGGAATTTTGACGGGCCGAAGGAGGGGTAATTTATTGCGGGCCGAGATTGAGGCGGTGTGAAAGTAATAAAAAAAAAGATGAATGGGCTGGGCTGAAATTCCAGATCAAATAAGTGAAAACTGAATGAAAAATATCGTCAACAGCAGGATTCGAACCTGCGCAGGCAAAGCCCAACAGATTTCGAGTCTGTCTCCTTAACCACTCGGACATGTTGACGAATTTGATTATCATCCTGTAACAAATGTAATTATCCTAAACAAAAAATGAGTTTGTGGTTGAAAGAAAAACAAAAAAGAAGGTGGCCAAAATTAACGCCCACCGTGGGGCTCGAACCCACGACCACAAGGTTAAGAGCCTTGCGCTCTACCAACTGAGCTAGACGGGCTGCTGGTCATTGGTGACTTTTTAATATTTATATAAATTTTCAATTGCATTAGAAGCAAACCTTTGGCTTTACAAATAGCAAGTCAGCTCATCCCACAGCTGACCTCCTGGAGATGGACCAGTAACAAATGATGGAGCATAAGAACTTGCATTTGTTTTTCTCATGAAGTTAGGGTTTTATTCGACTTTAGGCAAACTATTGGGAAGACTACATAAAGTTTTCAGAAGGAAAATGACTTGAGAAAACTAACATTATACTAACTAGGGATGTGTTACGTGCAAATTATTAGCTGAAAATTAGGGGTTTTTAATTGGGTTGTTGGTAGTGGGATAGTGCTATGTAGCTAGTTTTTAGGAGTAGTAGGTTTGGGCTTTGCCTATATAATTCAGTTTTAATGGTTGTAATTAGTAGCCAAGAAGATTAATCAAAGGAACACGTTAGTGTTAAGGAGGCCGGCTTTGCCTCGAAGAAGCCATTCTCAACTCTTCTTTCCTTCTCTTCGTTTCCCTCTTTCTCTTGTTCTTAACTCCTCTGTTTCATTCTTACAAAACATAGTCCCAAATCCCTCTTGAAACCCATCGAGAGGAAAGGCACGCAACATTTGGTATCAGAGCCGAACGATCCTACTGCTATGGAGGCTTGTGCAAAACAACTTGAAGCTACGCTGGAGGGGATTGTGCAAGAGAACACCAAGTTGAGACAGGTCATGCGTGAAGGTTTTGCCGCTCTCAATGCGAGGTTCGATCGATTGCTAGCATTGAGGGAGAAGAAGGAACCCACCATGAAGCTAGTTAATGGCGCCTGCAGGTTAGGAATCGACAACCCAATGAAGCCCAAAATAAATTGGGCCCAAGTTCTTAAGGAAGAGGTCGATGATGGCGTTGAAACTGCGCCATCAGTATCAGTCGCCGCTCCGCCAGCGAATGTGCCGCATCCATCAACCCCCGCCGCCACTGGCCAAGTTGAGGTGCTGCTCGAAGCCAACCTGCTGCAGGTCATCACGCTGGCCTCGGGAAGCATCGCTGCTCTAAAGGAAGCCGAAGAGGCCGCACAACCAAACAAAAGTGTCGCTGCATCTGTAGCCCAACAAACCAACAACTTTTCTTCCGCTAAAACCCATCCCGCCACCATGGCTCCGGCTCCGGGTGATTGTGACCTGAAGGGGCAAGAGTGTGAGCGTCAAAGCCAGGTGATGGGCTTGTATCGCCCAGGAATGAATATGGGGAGATTGACAAAGAGAATTATGGCAAGTACAGTGGGTGTATGCCATCTCCTCCCACCAATTGGAAGTATAGAAAGAAGGATCATTGTTCTCTGTTGATTCTTGTGGTCAAGAATCTTTCAAAGAGGGATGGTATGTTACGTGCAAATTATTAGCTGAAAATTAGGGGTTTTTAATTGGGTTGTTGGTAGTGGGATAGTGCTATGTAGCTAGTTTTTAGGAGTAGTAGGTTTGGGCTTTGCCTATATAATTCAGTTTTAATGGTTGTAATTAGTAGCCAAGAAGATTAATCAAAGGAACACGTTAGTGTTAAGGAGGCCGGCTTTGCCTCGAAGAAGCCATTCTCAACTCTTCTTTCCTTCTCTTCGTTTCCCTCTTTCTCTTGTTCTTAACTCCTCTGTTTCATTCTGACTAAACCTACAATCAATGCTTGTTCCTCCGTGGAGGAACTTAAGATGTTCAGTTCAGATGGCGTGACGTGACAAAAGTAGCGCCATCAGAAGTAAGAGTGAGTTCAGCCCATAACAGCATCACTGCAGTGGAACTGTACTTCCCTTCTTTCTCTACTGGCTTCGTGACTGCAAAATTACAATTCATCCGCATCAGCATCCCTTCCCCACCCAAAGATCCAACGGAACGCTAGTGATAACTTGCTGTTCACGGGCTTCTCGTTCAGTGGTTCTGGTTTTACAGCGCAGAGTGCTGTGTAGTCATGCTTTAGATGAGGATTCACTATCTTCTCCTGTCGAAAACAGAAACTAGTTAGAAACACGGACGAAAATCACTGCAGAACACAAAAAAAAAGTTGGAAGATACGGGTTTGTTTTTTTAGGAAATGCTAAAGGAACAAGGACAGAGTACCTTGAACTCTTCAAACGGGCATACGTCAGAACCACCACAACCCTGTACAAGAATCAGATTGGATTTCTCAACAAATCGAAAAATTGAACCACAACTTGATAAAAAAACTGGTTTAAGGAACAGAGAGGCATGATAAAGAGGGAGACATTACTGGCATTGGGATGGGACGCTCATTGTGAAGGACTTGGATATAGTACTTGCTAGAAGAAGAGGATGCCGGGCAACTGTGTAGGACCAACATGTTATTCCCAGCAAAAGGTGCCACAGCACTGCCTCTTGTGTGGCTTTTCATTGGAGGCGTGGGAGGGAGATCTAGAGGTTGCTCCTTTTGTATCTTTTTAAATTCTGAAAGTGATCAAGAACCGTACATTTTAACAGGCCAGGACTAACACCATCTTTCAACAGAAACTGCAACATGTACAGGTATGATAATATTCTAGTTGAACAAACAATGGGAAAAAGAAACGGCCCTTACAAAAACATAAGACTTACCAGATCCTTCAAGGAAAAGCCCAAGCAGACATGAAAAAGGAACCACGGTCTCAGCATGTGCGAATCTCAATCTTGCCTTTTCATAACTTCCAGGAGGCTGTTTTTCTACATGCAATGAAGGCCGAAAACAAGTACAAGGGTTATCAAATTATGATTTTTGTACACAATAAGTCCATTGATGAAACATGATAAACTTGGTGGTCACAACATACCGGTAGCTGATATTATCTCCAAACATATCAAGCTAAAACGTTTACTTCGTGAAACCTTAGAAATAAAAACATATCTATGGAGCTTATTTGGGAAGGACATAATGTTTATAAACTATGTCAAACCCTTCACATTTTCGCAGCAACAGATAATAAAGGGATACCCAATAGGTCTGCAATAGCAATTCCTCAGAGAAAAGCTTCCCTGATTAACACATAAAAGTGTGATGGTCTACAATACCTTCATGTGACTTAATAGCTTGTTCCATGGATTGTACAATGTCCTCAAGCAATGGCACGCCCATCTTATAGTTTATTGAATTACCATAACCCTTCAGTAAGAAAACCTCCAAGTCATCCGTCCACTCCAATAATTCAACCTGCAATAATTCGCACTTCAGATCCCACAGCTAAGGAAAACAAAGTATTTGTCTAGTACTTATAAGCTATCACTAAAGCTTTTATTTATTTAATTATTTCAAAGATCGGATATCATACACATTTTCTTAATTTAATCAACAATGCAAAGTGCCCCCCACCTTAAGAGTAGAGAGACAGAAAAAGAGCTGTATTGTGTAAGTGAACACAACTTAAAAATCCAGATATAGCAGATTTAGAATTTAAGAGTTCAGTCAATGAGAAAAATTGCAGAGGTCATAACTAATGAGATTAAGAAAAAAGGATTCCAAAATGGAATTGTTAACAAAGCCCTAACCTACCTCGGAAGGTTTAAAAAGATCACAAGCTTGATTTGTAACGTCCAACAATGAAGCTTCCTGGAAAATCAGGAATGAACAGCAAGAGTGGGGGGAAAGTATTAGTGATAAAGCAGAACAAAACAAATGGCGCTTATCAGAGAGGAACATTGTTGAAAGCTTGCAGCATAATGCAAACACATCACCTGTTTACAAAGAAACCAGAGAGAAGCTGTATCCTGTCGAGTGAAATCTAAACCATAACGGCTTACTAGTGCAGCAGTAATTTTATCTAAGACAGGTTCCTTCAGCTCGGCAACAGAAGGCTCTTTGTTTTGCCTATAGACCTACAGTTAGAAATCAACATATCTATTGATTACACATGGCTCTCAAGAACCCATCAATAAATTATATTCATCACCCTAACTGCTTCAAATGAAATAAAATGTTTATTTATAGAGTCAAGCAAATAGATTGATTACTATGGAGGAGCGTATTGTTAAATGGTGAAATGAGGGAAATGCTCTGTACCTTGTAGCTTTGACAGCTTTCGAAAAACCTAAGCATTAAATCACTTGCACGACTTTCACTGGTAACAGCGAAAGCTTTGTGTTCCGCCGGTCCAAGTTTCCCTTTCCCGGTTAATAGCCCCATACCAAATGCCACAGCACTCGCTGATGCCCGAGGAATCTATAGCATCAAAGAGGACCAGAAGGTAGTCAGCTACGTAGGACTGATTCCAATAACAAGTTTAAAATTTGATCTTTACATTTAGCAAATCTCTACCAAAGACTAAAAACAGCAGCGATCTTTTTTGTCCTGAACAAAACCAAAAAAACTCACCTGTGTAGCCTTTATCACGTAAACATCCGGATGGTATGGCTCCTCGAACAACTGCGGGAACCTTTCTCGAGTCCTCATTCCAAGATCATACAATTCCTCCTCCCCTGGACTAATCAACTCTCCTCCTTTCAATTTACCTTTCCATGGCGACTCCCAACTCCGCACCCAGGCAGGAAGCTTATCCAAAGACAATTTATTTTGTTCAGCATGGCTTATCAGCTCTTTCAGGTGAGAAGCCAACCTGTCTAATTCTCTCATCCGCTTCTTGGTTGGAGAACGAGTCCCGTGTCTTGCCTAGAACACCAATAAGTCAGGAAACATCACCAAACTATCACAAGGGACATAATAGAGGGGGGAAACAAGTCAGAGATTAGCCATTGGATTGTACTGCTTGGAACATCAATATACTGCTAATCAGTAAGCAATTGAAATTCAAAAGAGGTTCCAGAAGCTCACCCATGGAAAGGCGTATACTAATAGGGCCAACATACCAAAATTCACCGTTCTCTAACCAAACTAATTGTCGCAAGTGTGTTAAGAATGAAAAAATAAAACGTTCCACCAACTGCGAATTCAGTGAAATAGCAGTGATTGAATGTCAATTACCACAAGGTTCAAGTGAATTGGAGTGCAGCCATCAACGGCATTGGATGGAACAAAGGTACTGTTGACAACGATATCTTTGACAGCGCCATATCTGCACGCAGAGGAATCTAAATTACAAACTCTTCATCAACGACGGCGAGCACTTTCGATCCAATAATTCAATCCCAAATACGAACAATCACCGAAGCGAGACTATCCAAACAAAACTCAATTCCGTCAAAGCTCGCCGGAAACGAAGAAATTTTGTTCCGGTTTACCTGGACACTGTGGAGAGATGCTGGCGAACGTCGAAACCTTCTCCATTAGCTTCACTGAACTGCGCAAACACCAGTAGCAATGGGACCATCCAAACCGCGGCAGCCATGGCGGTCTTCTCCATTCATGCGTCGGCGCCAGGAGTAGCTTCCTCTGCTGCTTTACTGTCTCGGTTTGTGTCTCCAAAAACGTCGAATGGACAGGAAATTTGGAGTTCCACTTCCTTCTGCGTGCCTTCTTTTTCACGCCAACGGTGATCTCAAGACTTCGGCCAGAGGCTTGAAGATGAAGGAAGAAGAAAGAACAACTGTGGCGCAGTCGACTGAGTTCATTGTGCTCTGCTCTGCTCTTCTCTTACTTTTTGCTTTTTAATTTCCTTTTCCGTGGCCGTGATGTGGGTCACCCAATCAAATGAGTCCACGTAAGATTACTTTCGGGTTAAGCTAGCACAATGAAAGGCCTAGTTCGTTGATATTGGATTAAAGATGAAGCCCAATGGGCTTAAACTAACCATCTCCATAAGCAATTTCTAAATTGATCTCACATCTACAAAATACTATAAGCGAATATCAATATATCGGTTTTGCCACATCAGCTCTTCCTGCGCAGCCCGTATTCTTAGGGAGGACACCCCTGTAAATTACTCAACCCTTCTCGCTCTCTGTATTCAGTTTCACAAACCCAGATGGCCGCGTAACCTCTCCGCAACGCCCGCTGCCGATATATATGCTTCTTTCCGCTGAATAAAAAATCTCTCTGCTTCTTTTTCCAATCACAAATTCAACTTTCAGAACTGATGAATAGCTGCTGGCTGGCGAGTCGTCCCGTGTTAGGAGTTGATTCCCGTAAGTCTTCCTCTCCCTCTGCCCCCTCCATCTTCCACATCATCGCTCTCTACTCCAGGATTCCTTGGGCGAAGTGCATCCAAAATATGGGTAGGTGAACTTGGAAATTGACGGGATGATGAAGTAATTAAAGAAGGATAAAAGTGAATGAGTTTGGTGGGAAGCAAAGAAGCAAAATGTACTAACAATTGTAAGGAAACTCATTGGACTAAATTATTCCAATGAATCCCTTTGTGACAAATGTGGAGTGATGAGATCAGCAATAAGTTGGTATTGGAAGATTACTTCGAGTCCTTATGGTCGGATAAGATTGGACAAAGATCAAAGGAAAATTGAGGAAAAAAACTGATAAAAACATGTTTTATTCATTGTGTTCGATTCAATCTGGCCCAAATTTATATTTTTGTCCAATTTTTCTTCATATGTAAGATAATTTGTAGCGTCAAAACATAATCGAAATATACTCAATCTTATTCGATGTAGTCTATATATCGATTCAGTACAATTCAATTTGATGTACACTGAATGATTACCCACTCCATGGAAAGAATTATAACTGTGAAAGACTGCACCCGAATTTGGAAGAGAAAAGATTGCCCAAAACTGGAGCATGCACTTCCGTTAGTAGTATATGGCAAAATCCTAAACTCTTCCTTTAACTTCCTGCAACAGTCTGTCTATTATACATGAAGCAAGTTTCATGCAATTCCAACACCCAAACTCCACGTCGGTCCAATTTGAGGTGATTCCTTAGTTTCTGATATTGTATTCTCCCCTTTTTACTTTGGTTGAGGGATACTGTAGCGAGATGGAAAATTCTGAATTAGCCTCTTCATAGATTAACAACAATTATATACCAAACAAGCAATATAGATTTAACTCAACTTAAACGAAAATATGTGCTGCAATTTATGAATCGTGGATATAGAATGCTATACTTATCAAGACAAGAAAAAGATTACCAAGATTTTAACAAATAGTGATAAGTGCAATAACGATCATACACCACAAAATTTTCATCCCTAAATTCGACGAAAATCAATTCAAATGTATATTGACAGAGACTAATAACGAAAAGAGACCAAACATTGTTGTAAAGGCCTCTCATAATCCAGTACATGAATGATATATGGATAAAGATCTGAAGTCTACAAACAAACTACTATTTCAATAAAAAAATTGAATCTCATCTATTTGTTGCGCTCAAATTTTTTGGCCCAATTCAAGCAAACTTATATATAAGGTCAATATTTACTAGGTTAATTTTCATGGGAATGTTATTAGTGGATTTTTAAATTGTTTCCAATTTGCTTTTTGCTTAATGCTTATCATTCTCCAAGGTGCTCAATTGAAGCTTCAATGTACAAATTTATATATAACATGAAGTTGGTTTATCCAATTCGTTCTCAATTTTTAACTTCTTTAATTTTATTTGCACACTTCACTTCTGTCACAATAAACCTGGTGTTGTTGAAGTTGAAAAGAATGTATGACAAAACTTAGCTAAAATTTAGTTTTTCATATTCTGTTGATATTTCACATATTCAATCTTCCCTCCAAGAAGAAACAGAAAACTATGCCGGCCAACGGGTCGGGCACGATTACTAGTAGTTATATGTTGAATTGTGACGTGCATCTAAAGTAGATAAAACGACGTCATTTTATCTTCCAGTTACCTTCCAGTTACGACGTCGTCCTTCAAGGTCTTCACAAAATCAAACCTCTGTCATTTTTCGCTTGGCACAACGTTTCACTACTACAACCGACCATCATCCATATCTGCTCGCCTCTCGATCTTCTCTTCCACCATCTTGTTGCTCTGGAAGACGAAGACATTTTTCTCGAAGCTCGCATCTCCCACAAAGATCATCACCGCCTCTACAAAGACTAATGATGATCACAGCCTTGATCATCATCTTTAGCTAACGGTTATCTTCTTCCCCTGTATAAATAGTAGGTTCCTTCCTTTTCTTAAAACTTGGCAGTCTATAATAGAAGTATAGAGAAGTGTCTTCTGTTGCTTTGGGTCCGTGTTTTGCTTCAGTAGAACAAATCACAGTGTTATAGTACTGGGTGATTTGTTCTTGGGAAGTTTGTGCCTTGTTCAAAGAGCCAATTCGTTGGCTTGGCTCTTGTCTTTCTTTCGTGTTCTGTTCTTTGAAATAAATAAAATTATCCATTTTCAAAAGGGCTGTTTCTATCGAGTGTGATTGTCTTTACAAAATACATTCTTGATTCACACTCTGATTTCACAATTGGTATCAGAGCAGGTTCTTTGTTGGATTAACTATCACCAAAGAAGATCAGTAAGATGGCTGGATCCTCATCGGCACCTGCGTCTTACTCTGCGAATACAAACCCTCCATGGTTTGATGGGACGGATTACTCTGTTTGGAAGAAGAAGATGAAGATTTACTTAAGAGGAGTTGATGGTGATCTATAGAGCATTGTTCGAAAGGGGCCAATTCCTATGGATGATGATGATGAAGAGAAATGGGAAGATGAGCAGAAGATATCCTCTCAACTCGACTCAAGGGCAATGCATCTTCTATTCTCAGCATTATCATCTGAAGAAAGAAATCAGGTTGCCCAGTGTGAAACTGCCAAAGAAATTTGGGAGTCATTGCAAACTACTCACGAAGGTACATCTGAGGTAAAGGAAAGTCGAATTGATGTTTTATTGAATGAATATGAATCGTTTGAAATGAATTCAGGAGAATCTATTTCTAGTATGTATAAAAGATTCAATGATCTAATAAATAGGTTGAAAGGCTTAGGAAAGACATTTGCTACAAAAGACCTAGTTAGAAAAATTCTAAGAAGTCTTCCTAGAGAATGGCTTCCTAAAAGGACAGCTATAGAAGAAGCAAAAGATCTTAATACTCTATCTATTGAGAGGCTGGTAGGATCCCTGCTAAGCCATGAAGAAGTAATCACACAATGACACAAATGAATAAGGAAGATAATAAGAGGAAAAAGGTGATTGTATTTAAAGCTCAAGAATATGAGAGTGACTTTGAATATGATATTAGTGAAGAATTTGAAAGAGAATTTGCATTGGTTAGCAGAAAATTTCATCGAATGTTAAGAATGAAAAGGGAGTTCCAAGCAAATAGAGCTTATAATGACATTCGAAACTCGGAAAATAGACACTCAGATTATAGACGAGATAGAGAAGAGAAACCTGTTTCAAAACATACTGATAAAGGGCCTATGAATAAGCATATGTCTGAAAGGCATAATCAAATGTTTGCTGACAAAAGCTCAGAAGGAAGGGAAAGGTATAAGGGAGACCAGAGGTCTCCTGTTGATAAAGATCTAACAATCTGTTACAAGTGTGGAAAGACAGGTCACATGCGATCCAGATGTCCACTCAACAAGGCCAAAGAGAAGGCGCTTGCAGCATCATGGAGTGACTACAGTTCGGAAGAAGAAGAGGAAGTAAAGAACTTGGCCTACATGGCATTCGCCTCAAAAGGAGAAGCTGATTCAGACTCTTCCAGTTGTGATGATCAGACCTTTCCAACAAGTTATCAGGTAATAAATGATAGTGACTCTGAAAGAAGTGGTCATCCTATGTCGAAAATTGAATTTCTGCATGCTTTAAGAAATTTACAAGATGAATGCGACAGGCTTAAAAGTAGGTACTGCATGCTCATGACAGACAATCAGGCAATGAAACAGGAAATAAATAGTCTCAAAAGAACTATTAAGCTTCAAGATGAGTGTCAGGCTAAACTTAATGAGCAGATTTTTTACTTAACTGATAAAAATCACAAGCTCAGCACATTATGCAAGAAAACAAATTCAAGGTACAGTGTAAGAAACAGTGAGAAAGAAATCAGAACTGATTTCAACAAGGAGTTTGGATCTCAAAGAAAACACTTTGAGACTAGGACAGTCAGAAAGTACCCCACCATATATACATGCTCTCACTGTAAAAGACAAGGTCATTTAGCAAAATTCTGCTATGATTTAAGGAAACCTCTTGTGTATAAATCATTTTGGGTACCAAAATGCACTAATGTTTGATTGATTGCAGAAACAGGGAGAAAATGAGAACATTTGGTTCTTGGATAGTGGTTGCTCCCACCACATGACAGGTAGACAAGAATTGTTTTCTTCCCTTACTTACAAGAAAGGAGGTAAAGTAGTGTTTGGTGATGATAGAGTAGGAATAATCATGGGAACTGGTACTATTGGTAAAAGTCCATTTCCTGTTGTGAATAATGTGATGTTTGTTAAAGGTCTGAAGCATAACCTTCTTTCCATTAGTCAACTGTGTTGTGGTGAAAATAGAGTAATATTTGAAGCTGATTCCTGTCAAATTATTAGGATTAATGATAACAAGATGCTGTTCAGTGGAACTAAGAAAAAAAACATGTATGTAGTAAACTTGAACAGTTTGGAAGCTTTCAATGAAACCTATTTTCAAGCTGTCTCTCTTGACCTAGAAATGCTGTGGCACAGAAAATTAGGACGTGTCTGTCTTTCAAAACTTCCAAAACTCTCCAAAACTAAATCTTCCAGAGGTATTCCTAGACTAAAAGACA